GGTGTTCGTGTTATAGTGTAGTAGGCGTCGCCAAGATATTATAATGTCGGCATTCGACGTTTCGGAGCGTTCGAACGTCAATGCCGAATGTTGCGACCACAGGTCGAACGCGGCCTGCGCCGTGTTCAGCTCGGTTTCGTCGGCTAAGTGAAAATGCCACGTCAGGTGCGTCTTCGGCCATTTGGACAGGCTCGCTTTCGTTCCGTGCTTCAGGATATCTCGGAAACCGCATCGCGGTTTACTCATGAATTGCAGCGTTTCGTTGTTGAGCGTTCCGTCGCCGGGTAAATCGTAGTAATTCTGAAAATCCTTGAAGGCTTTGCGAAAAACGTCGTTTCGTCTCTGAGCCGGAACCGCGTCCACGTCTTTGGACAGATATCCGTATTTCTGCAGGTAGTCGAACGTGAGCGCGTAATTTTCGTCCGTAATTGTGGAATTGATGCACGCCGCGGCGATAAAACACGCGGTTAACGCGATTATGTACGCGAGCCGCATCGTCGAGAGCAAGAGAGAGACGGTGAAACCGCGATGACGGCGCGTTGCGGTTTGAGCGCGATCTCGACGAGCGCTCCGGATGCGAACATTTACGCGATGAAGATCGTTAGCGACAACGCGGATAGGTGGCGGCGCGGCGGGGGGTCTCGGGCGTGAAAAAAAAAATGCGTCGAAGATCCCGGCGGATGAGCCGGCCCGATAAGAAAAAATTGCGTCAACGATTCCGGCGGATGAGTCGGTTTGATAAAAAAAAATGCATTAATTATTTTCCTCGATGCGTATTTTCCTCGATGCGTATTTTCCATCGATTCATATTTTCCTCACGCAATAAAATGCTATTCTTAGTATATTTTTCTATCGCAACACCCATGGGCAACACCCTTTTTTTACCATATATAAGAACTCGAGACTAGACTTAGGCGTAGTCTATCCGCACTCTTTGAGTAAACTCAAGACGATGGAGAAACTTAACGATTTAAAATGCGTGTGTGATGTATTACAAAATCAAACCACAGCCCTGACGAGGGAGGTTGAGGATTATTGCAACATGGTGCGGCAGTTGCAGCTGCGCGTGAAGTGCTTAACGGAAAAGGTGCCTCCTTTTTTGCAACTCACCGTTCACGTGGACGAGGATGCCGCAATGCTCGAAAAAACGTGAGTATCGCTTTCAAACGTGAAATTATTTCTTATAATATAATCAAACGATAAATTTTATATTTATGTATATTTATAATTATTTACAATTATTTATATTTATTATTCATATTTATATTTATTTATATTTATTAATTGTATTTTTTGCGTAGGGCTATCATTACTTCCTTGGTGAAAAAATCTTGCAACCAGATCAGATTGTTCGTGACGAAACTTCGTGGGACATCGCGCGGCTGGACTCGCACGAAGAGGCGGGTCGTTGCGAGAGAGACGACGACGAGGGGGATTCTCCGAACCTGAACCCCCAAGAAACAGTGACCATCAACGACGATATCCCCGTATGTTGGGCTTCCCAATGTGAAAAAAATGTGAAAAAAATGTGAAATACGATATATTGAAAAAATTTTATTAAATGACAGAAGTTTATTTATAATATGCTATATAATATTGTTGTGCCGTGCCTCTGATTCGAGGGGTCGGCACTGAGTTCTTTGGATCCGCCGGGAGGAAGGAAGAATAACGTTGCCAGAGTTTTTGTCCAACGATATTTTAATAAAGACCTTTTTAACTTGATACACTAGTGTCGTTAATTTCGTTGCCCTGACTCGCGGGCGTTCACAATAGGATAATTTACGTTGGTCGTGCGCGATTAGCCTTACGTTCTAGACTGCCCGCCGCTTCTTGGAAGGGCGGGCTTTTTATCTCTTCGCGTATTACTTCCGCGATGCTGACTTAGCTGTCAGCGCTTTTGCTTCCGGGTGAGCGACCTGGAAGCCGCTTGCGACACCCGGAATGCCACCTCAGGTGAGTTTGGCAATATTCGAGATGTGCGCTGACAGCTATGTGTCGCAATTCGGGCACGGCGACTTCCGCCTCACAACATCCCTTCCCCCTGGGGAGAAGAAAAACTGAGATTTCAAATTGAAGTTTTTCGCATTTATTGACATATGTGTTAAAAAGAATTTTTTTTTTTTCGTTATTATTATTATCTTGTTATGATTTTCGTTGTGTGAGGAAGTCGCGTCGCATACTCTTGTTCGTTTTCCTTTTCGCTATCCATGTTATCGCGACTATGATCTCTGTTATTATTATGATTAAAGATAGGGATCCTACGGGGTACATTATGTATTTATTTGATAAAAAACCGGCTTGGCTGTTTTCTACTTCTTGATTTATCTCGTTTAGGTTTAGGCTTAATTTTGTTAGTTCCCCGGGGTTTTTGATTACCGGTTCTATTTTTAATTCTGTCACTATTTTGTTGTTGATTTTGGTATCTGTAGTTACTTGTTTGAAGGTTAAGTTGAATTGTGGTAGGTGCATTTGCACGTGCGTCGTGTGGTCTCGTTTTTTCGTTCGTAGAGTCAAGTCTGTCGTGGTTAGCTTGCAATTGTCAGTTAATTTGATTCTTCCCGTTCGATTAATGTCGATTTTATGTTCTCCTTGATTGTTGCATTGAATAGTTATACTCTGTTTGTATGGTGTGGAAAACAACCATGCCTGTGACTCCGCTAAGGTTATCCAGAATGTTACGGTTGAGAGAATGTGGCGACGCTCGCAATTGTCTTCTTCCGCTCTTATATATATCTGCACCTCGCAGGGTGCATGCGGCGTTATGAAGTATACCGGGTGGTTCGTGTTACATACAAACGTTGTGCCGGAGTGTTTACATTTATTCAAATCATCTTCTTTTAGTGTTACATAATTTTGGTTTTCTTTATCATTAGCTAGTAGGTCGTACGTAGTTTTCGGTATTACAAATATATTTTTACGGTCGTGTACCGGCAGGGGGTTTATTCTTATAATTTCGTACTTTGGATATGTGACAATAGGGAAGGTCAGGATTGTGTATACGTTGGGGTTATCGTAGTAAGCATTTATTTCCATAAACTCCTGAATTTTATTCCAATTTTCGGTTTGTATTTTAAAAGGAAAGTGAGCTCCTTGGGATAGGTGAGTTGTCGCTTCTCTCAATTTGGTTATAATATTTTTGAGGGGAAGTAGTCGTACGAGTACTATTCCGCTCTTAGAGTAGGTGAGGTACGCTAAAACGTCTTCTACATCGTTTATTAATTTGTTCATTATCGCAGTTATTGCCAACAGGTGTTCATCTATTTCTTCGCGGTGCGCTAAATTCGACACTCGTTCTTGTACTAGTCTGGTTACATTCGCTAGCAGGTTTTTGTTTTTGTTAATAGTTTGCTCTAGCGCTTCCATGTGTCCTAACGTCGCGTTTATAATTTTAATCTGACTTTTCGCCACGTGTCGCATGACATTTTGTTGGTTTTGCATTAATTCTAACTGTTTTTGTATGTGTTTTTCATCGTCGGCGTCCATCGTTCCAAATAATGTTTTACTTATGGTTCCTATCGCGTCTAACAGTCCGCGTCGGCTTGTCGGTACTTTGTAAATAGTTTGCAGTCGTATTATCAGTTGCGTCAGTTTCGTATTGTCGTCCTCGGTTATGCGGAGTATGTTATTACATATGACTCGGTTATCGTCCTTTACGCGATCGCATAAATTTTTTATTCGTCCGAGGTAATGTTGGAGCTGGTGGTATCTTATTGCAAACGCCGTTACCTCGATTCGGATAGCCAATTTCCATGTAATTTCTTGTAGTTGCATTGTCCCGATTTTCTCAAAATAAATTCCTGGTTCGTCGCTAAATGACGTCACCTCGTACAGGGGCATCGGTTCGGATGACATTTCGCCCGCTAGGTGAAAGACGATATTCGGTGTCCTGTAACGGGAATACTATTTTGGACTTAGTATTATTTTCCGTCGCATTTTCTGCTGACTATATCTGTCCACGGATTTCTACTTTTATTGCTTTACGAGTCGCTTCAGTCTGAGTCTGTCACCCGTCTTGTCATTTTTTCAAATTTTTTTTTTTTTGATATGCCTCTGCTTGACTATGTGCCAGTTTCGGCTGGCGCGGTGGATCCAAGTGAGATTCGGCCTGGTGAGGAGGCCGAAGAAACCAATGGTCCAGCTTTGGTGGTTCCCGAAAGGTCGGAGGTTCGGGACCTTATTCACGCGCGCGTGCGTTATGACGGCGGTACGCGTGAGTTCCTGATAGAGCGTGGTCAACGAACGCCGCCTGTTCCTATGGTATTATTCCTGACGCTGGTATTATTCTTTGCGCTTCGTTCCCGCATGCAGGCTGATATGGAGCGTGGTACCCCTCGCCATGATTAACTGTACGTTTTGGTTATTTTCATTACTGTTGTCCTTATGCTACTTATGCTTTTGATTATGCTTCCTATCTCTGCTTTTTATAAGGGTTTCAAACGGTTAACGTGGACGCGTAGCGTTCTTCGTTTTATCCTATATATATCTTTTTTCATCGGATTTCGCTTTCGTTTGAAAGTCCTAAGTCCTAAGTTTTGCTGACATCTGTCCGTGTCGGATTTCTTCTTTTAATTTCTCTGCTTAATTTCGCGTCAGTTGGCTGCTACTTTCGAGCAGTGTTGGGTGCCTTTCGGTGATTTTTTAACTCTGTCTTATTAAGTATGCGGTGCTTTCGGTGCACTCAGTACTTTACGCCCTCCTTTTGTGACGCTTGCCAACGCGAATATTGGAGAAGGGCATTTGGGGCGGCGGCTGCTGCGGATCGCGAGGCGAGGGAGGGAGAGAGAGACGAGGCGCGTTCCTCGCCCCCTCCCCCCTATGATGAGGTGGCCCGCCCTGGCACTGTGGTGCCCTTCCCCCAGTTGCGGGTGACGCTACACTCCGCAACAAGACAGAGGGACGTGGTCCTGGTTCGTCCTCGCCGGAAGTGAATCTTACTACTATATGTATGCTATATATTTTTTTTTCTCTACTGCTTACTTTTCTGTTGCGCATGAGCCTTATTCCTCGATGAACGCTTTTAGCCTATTTGCATGTACGCGTATCGTCTTGCGTTTTACTTTAATGGTGTAGTTTACGTCGCTGTGTTTTTCCACGATCACGTACGGTCCTACCCATTGCGAATCGAGTTTTTTAGATCGTCCCCTTTGTACTGTTTCATCGTGTAACAGTACCTTGTCTCCTATTTTGAATGTTTCCTTATTGCATTTTTTGTCGAATTGCTGCTTTGCTTTTTCTTTCTTTTCTTTAGTATGCTCTCTCGCGACTTGATTCGTGGCGCGTATTCGTTCTCGTAATTCTTTCGCGTAATCTTCGTACGAATATGTTAGTTTCGGGGGCCTTGTTAGAGCTGTCGGTAGGTTTGCTTGGTGTCCGTAGACAAGTTCGAACGGTGTGAGTCCTGTCGTCGTATGAGGCGTCGTATTATACGTGAACATTGCGTAGGGTATCCACTCATCCCAGTCGGTTTGGTCCTTATTTAAGTAATGTCTTAGGTACTCCGCCAGAGTACGATGCGATCTTTCCAGCGCTCCGTTACTCTCGGGATGATATACTGTTGTCTGTATTTTTTCGATTTTCAGTAGCTTGCACATGTTCTTAAATATCTCGCTTGTAAAATTTGTTCCTTGGTCCGTGAGAATTTTCTCCGGTATTCCGTGTTCTAGAACTACTTTCGTTACAAAGGCTTTTGCTACTGTATTTGCCTCCTGATTTTCTACGGGTACTGCCTTGCTAAACTTCGTTAGATTGTCTTGGAACGTGAGGAGGTATTTATTTCCGTTATTCGTGACTGTTAGTGGGCCTACTATGTCGAGCGCGCATTTTTCGAATGGTCGCTCGGGCGTATCTGTAATAGTCATTGGCATTTTCGTCTTCCTACTCAATTTGTTCTTCTGGCAGTACTCGCATTTATTTATGTAATCTTCTACATACGCCGTAATTCCACGCCAGCTGTGCTGTAATCGGATACGGTTTAGTGTTCGCGTAACTCCTTGGTGCCCCCCCGTAGGCGAGTCATGATACTCGTAGAGTATTTGCCGCTTTTCCTCCTCCGAGTACTCTCTCGGGGAGTCGTCGTCCTGTTGCGTTACATTTATCGCTGATGTTTCGGCTATCGGATTTCGGCTCAATGCATCGGCATTCACGTTGTTTTTTCCTGCTTTATGTACGATCTCGTAATCGTATTCCTTTAGTTTTAGCCTCTATCTTATTAGTCTGGAGCCGGGGTCGTTTACATTAAATAACCAGATCAATGGTTTGTGATCGGTTATGATTTTAAATCTAACGCCATATAAATAGGGACGGAAATGTTTTACCGCCCAGACGATTGCTAATAGCTCTTTTTCTGTGGTATTATAATTTTGCTCTGCCTTGCATAATACTCGGCTGGCGTACGCTATCGGTCGGTCTTGGCCTACTGTTCCTTGTGAGAGCACGGCTCCGATGGCGTA